CCCCCCGGCAGGCCAGGCGCGCCCCGCACCCCTACCCCCGTCGCGAGCCAATGTACCGTCCCCCGGCCATGCCGCCACCCGGCCGGGGAAGGAATGGCGAGAGAGAGAAAGAGAGAGAGCCCCCCCCCCACCTCCCCCTCGAGGGGCGGATGGCGAGCGCGGGGCGCGCCTTCGGGCGGGACACCCTCGCACAGGGGCCTCCCTCCGGTCGCCGGGCGGTTGTCTCTCGCGACGGCCCCCCCCTCCCCCCGGGCGGCCACGCCGGCGAGGGGGTACCCGTCCGCCCCGGCTCCTTCGGCTGCCTGACAGACACGGGCGTGCTCGCCTGGCCACCGGCCACATCTGTGTGCGCGCCCGCGCGTAAACAAAGGCCAAACAGTGTAGCGTGGCCTGGGGGCAAACAAATGCGCAGCCGGGGCGCCAGCGGGACGTCGCCGGCCGGGGGCCGCCAGCCGGGGCGCTCGGGCGCCGGGGCGCTCTGCACCGTGCAGGGGGCACCTCCGGAGGGTTGGTCTTAGCATTGGCCGGGCCATTGCGCCTGTTCGCCGGCCATTGGTGCTAGCCGGCGCCCTCCGGCGGCCGGGACGGGGGAGGAGGGGCGATCCTTTTGCGGGCAGGGCGATTGGAGAGAGGAGCCCGCACCGCCAGGGCTGTCCCGGCCGGGGGGCCTCCGCGCCCCGCCCCCCCCCCCCTGAATAGTTGCCACAGAACGCGTCCGGTGGAAATGCGATTGGCATGCACCGGCGGTGCACTGGCTCCGCCGGTGCCTCCCCGCACCCCCCCCCCACCGGGGGAGCCCGCCTCGGCCACCTCCCCGGCGACTGGGGCGCCCGCCGGGTAGGCTTCCGTGCGCCGGGCAGTGCGAAGCCCCGGTCCGGGGGACAAATAAACCCCGCGTATGCACCCATCCGGGCCCTGCGCCCCTCACTCCCGGGCAGGCCGCAGGAAGGGGCCCCCTCCATCGGTGCCCCAGTCGCGGCGCGGGGGCGAGGCGCGGCCCGGGAGACGGATGCCGACCGCCCTTTCGGGTCGGAACTCCACGCCTGGGCCAGCCTAACGTATGCGCCTGGCTCCATGCGTGTTTCTCTCACTCTCCGCCCCCTTCTCGCGCTCGCGCCCGCACTCCGCGACGCATGAGGGCCCGGGGGCCACTGGCCGCGGCCGGTGCCGATGATACACGCTCCCAGCCCGGAGCACCCGGGGCACGTGCACGCACAATGGCGCTCACAGGTGTCTGCCCGCCCCGCCCCGCCCCCCGGCCCGGGGCCCCGCTCCGCTCCGGCCTCCGCGGCACCCGAGTCGTCCTGGGACAGACGAAACGGCATGGCGGCGTCGGGCCGTGCGGCAGCCCCCGCCCCCGGCGTACGCCCCCTCCCCCTGGGACTCCTGATCTCCGTCGGTCAAGGGCTGCGGCGAGAGGCGGACCGGTCCCTGTGGGGCTGGCCTGCCTGTGAGTCGGGCGGCAAGGCACGGGCGCGCTGCCCGCGCCGGCGGCCATCCGCCGGAACACGCGTGGTCTGATCCCCCCCGCCTCTCCCTGCCCGAAGGCCGCCCGACATATCCCCCGGCGGCGGTCCGCCCACATGCAGCCCCTGCCGGGGATGGGGAGGGGATGCTCCACGGGCTCCGGCGCCCCCTTCGCAGTTCGGAGTACGGGGCGGTTCGTCCGGGGAATCCGGCGGTCGACGTGGGCCGGCCCCCCCCCCCCGGCAAACCCGCAGCCGGACGCCAATCTTTCCCGACGCATGCCGCGCGCGCGCCGGGGCCTCCTTTCCTGGCCCTCGGGCGAGGGCCGGGAGGGGGCGGCGGGGCAGGCCGGGCCGGCTGCGTTGCTCCGGCGCTTGGGCAACCCGCTGGCGCCGGGCCCTGCAGCACCGACCGACCCGGCCCAGCGGGCGAGGGGCCCCGTGCGTGCCGCGGCCCAAGCACTTACGCCCTCGGCGTCCGGGCAACCCCGCCGACGCCACCGCGCCGCCCAGGAGGCCGGGCCGGGCCGCAGACGGGAGCGCCCTGGCGCCCGACCCGAGGTCCCCCGCCCAGCTGGGGCGTTCCCCCCTGTGAAGTCCCAAGGGGGGGGGGGGGCGGGTTCGGCAGCCGGCCACCTTGTCGACAAGAATACGACATCGCGCCACGGCCGGAGCCGCATGGCGGGGCGCAACGCGCCGGGCTCCCCCCCCCCCCCCCCGACCGGGAAGCGGGCGCGTTGCCCCGGCTTGAGCAGGGCCACACCCACGCACACCCAGCGTACACACGACCACGCAGGCACCTCCTCGGGGCAGGGCCGTGCCGGGGAGGCCTCCGGCGGCGCGGCACCCGCGCACGGGCGCGGGCATTCCTGCGCGGACTGGCGTCGGACGACGGGACGCCCGCCGGGGGGCCATCTCACCACCGTGGGCACGGGCGCCCAAACAAACCCAGGGACCAGCGCAGGCGCCGACGCCGGGGAGCGTGCACTAGCCGCGCGCGCGCGCGCGCGAGCGCCCGACGATCGGAAAAAGAGCCGGCGCCCGCCAATGCCTTCGACACCCCCCCCCCCGGGCGAGGGTGACTCAGACGGGCCCGGAGACCGGCGGCCGGGGATGCCCGCCCCGCCGGCCGCGAGGCGAGGGCCTGCTGACGCCCGGCCGCGCCCCATTCCCCCCAGCAGGGGGGGGGGGGGGGGAGGCGGGGCGGAATGTGCTCCGGTCTCGGGGGCCCTCGATGGCAATCTCCGTTGCGAGGGCGCGCTCGGGGGTACGGTGCGCCTCCGGTTTGCCGGTCTCCAACGATCGCGCCAGCCGGCTGGGAAAGAGCGCGCGCCGGAGCCGGGGTTCGGGCGCATCACCCCAGGCCCCCGGGGCCCGTGTGGGAATCACCGCACAAACAGAGGAGGCCGCCCTTACGCCCGGCAGCCGGGTAGTCCGGGCACTTGGGGGAGGGGGGGGGGAGGGGGGGGCGAGAGACCCGGGGCGGCCCGCGCGTCCGACTGCGCCCCGGGGCCTCCGAATCCCAGGCGCGAGGGGCGACGCCTGGCGAAAAAGCGCCGCCGGAGGTCCCACTCCCCCTGGCCCCCCGCCGGCCCGGCGCGCCCGCAGGCCATAGAAGCCTGGGACGCCCCGGCCCTCGACGAGGCGGCGACGAACCGACACCATGGGTCAGGGCGAACGGATGGACGGCTGTTTCACTCCCTTACGGGGCCTGCGCCACGGCGTTGCGCCCACCTGTAACTCTTGGCGATTTCAAATCCCGCCCCGCCCTGCGGGAAATGCATCTCCTGGGCCGCGCTGAGGCACATCGGCCGGCGCACAACCATGTCCCCCGCTCGTCCCCCGGGCGCGCGCCCCTGCCGGGGGCCGGGGCCGGGCGAGAGCCGGGGGAGTCTTCTCTCGTCCAGCCCCGGGCTGGAAATCGCCTCGGGGCCCGGCAGCCAGAAGGCGGCCGGCCGCGCCTCCCATGCCTTCTCTCTCTCTCTCTCTCTCTCCCTCTCTCGCCGGGCGTGAGCGGCCCCGCGGCCCCGCCCGCCCGCCAGAGCAGGACGCACCCCGCCCGGCCTGGCTGCCGCGTCAACCTCGGGCCACGAGCCCGGCGCCAAGGGAGGCTCCCGTGGGGCCGCGACCCTGGCGCGCGCGCCCGCGCGAGCATGTTGTGCGAAAGGCGCGCGGCCCCGGCTGAGCGCGGGGGCGACGCATTCCTGCGCCCTTTCTGGGAAGGCTCTGCTCCGTTTACCCCGCGTGCGCGCGCCGCCCGCCCAGGTCCCCTATCATCTGCATGCGCCCCCCCCCCCCCCCCCCCCCCCCCCCCCCCCCCCCCCCCCCCCCCCCCCCCCCCCCCCCCCCCCCCCCCCCCCCCCTTCCCTCGGACGCGCAGGAACTCCCCGGCCACCGAGCCCAAGCGCGCACAAAAGTTGACACCCCGCACACGCCCACACGCGCCATGCGATCGGCCCGCTCCCTCCGCCTGCTCAGTTGACCGATCCCGGCCCGCATGACAAAAGGATCGCCACTGCATGGCGCGCACTCTGAGCCCGCCCCCGGGCCCCTGCTCTTCACGCCCGGCCGCGTGCGAACAACGGTCACACTGACACGGACCGCAACGCCCTGGGGGGACGCCTCCTCCGGGGACCGCCCGGCGCGCGCCACTCCGAGCCAGGACAACGCCCCCCCCCGGCGGACTGGCTCGCGACGGGCCGGGTCGGCCTCGCAGTCGGGCCCCGAGATGGCCGATGTGCGTGATCACGAGATGGGCTACAGGGCGAACATCGCTTATCAAGGTCCGCCAGGGGTCAAGCCGGGCACGGGGCACGCGCGCACCCGCCCGTCCAAGCGCCGGGCGGCCCCCCCCCCAGTCCCTCTGCCGCCGGCGGCTCCGTGGCACGTCTCTCGGGCGGACTCTTCCTGGGTGTGTGTGTGTGTGTGCGTGTGTGTGCGTGTTTCCGACGAAGTGTCCCTCTCGGGCCCTGGCCGACCCAGTTTGCGCGGTTTCCAGCCCGGAGTGCTTCAGGAGGCGGGCCTCCCGCCGTAGGGTGGTCGGCTCGGAGCAATGGGGCGCCCCCGTTCGACGGTCTCCGGCATGAAAAAAAGAGCCATAAATATATATCCCCATTCCTCGGTCCACTCTCTGCCGCCCCTCCCTGGCAAGTTCGGCATGCGATCCCTGAGGGGCCTCCCCATGCTGGGGCGAGAGGGGCGCGTGAGCCCCCCCCCC